GGGGATGCTGTGGGACTGAGATGGGGGAGGGGGAAGGGGATGCTGTGGGACTGAGTGAGGGAGAGGGAGGGGGAGGGGGATGCTGTGGGACTGAGATGGGGGAGGGGGAAGGGGATGCTGTGGGACTGAGTGAGGGAGAGGGAGGGGGAGGGGGATGCTGTGGGACTGAGTGAGGGAGGGGGAGGGGGATGCTGTGGACCAGGTGTGGTGGAGCCGGGGCAGCACAGCTCCCCTCAGCCCAAGAAAACATGGTTTCAGCACAGTCCCTGGGGTAAGAAGGTTTACAAAGATGGAGTCTCCCACGTGGGGACCCCAGAACTGGAACTGGAGGAGTAAGTAGGGTGGTATCTGAAGATGAACTCTTCCGGTTGGCACTCAGGTATGACAGCAGACAGAACACAGCAGCTCTTCATCTGACACATTCATGTGTCACTGCCTGGCCTCAGCGATGTACAGTGGCGGAGAGATACTGACCTTCAGTATATTCCTTGGTGCCATCTAAGGGGTCAACCCACACCACAAGCTGCCAAATAAAAACGGAAAAGAGAGGATATATCCATATCAAGTGTGTACAATTCAGAGAATGAATAGGTTAAAAACACCCCCTTTTAATATGTTTGAACACATTATTATGGATGATTTAAGTCAACATCCTCAGCTTTGTGATCATAAAAAAAAACCAAACAAACCCCAAAGCTGCATAATCATGGAGTAAGCACATTTAAAGTAAACAAAAGGCTGTTTTCACATGTTTTACAGCACAGTTGATAAATGCTGGCTGTCACTTGAACACTCAGCACAATGTCATGGACTCACACAGCTCTAGATGGTGCTACAGGGAAAAAAACTGCCACAAAGCCCTGAGAATATTTTGTGCAGTCTAAATTTGTTACTCATTTTATGTGTATGTGCAGACTTTTTTTTTTTTTTTTTTAGTGTTTTGAGACAGGGTCTCTCCACGTAGCCCTAGCTATCCTGGACTTCATTATGTAGACCAGGATGGCCTCAAACTCACAAATCCACCTGCCTTTGCCTCTCAAATGCTGGGATTCAAGGCATGTGTCACTATGCCAGGCCTGTACATGCTCATTTAAAACATAATAACCCGGGGCTGGAGAGATGGCTCAGAGGTGAAGAGCACTGGCTCTTCTTCCAGAGGTCCTGAGTTCAATTCCCAGCACCCACATGGTGGCTCACAACCATCTATAATGAGATCTGATGCCTTCTTCTGGCCTGCAGACATACATGCAGGCAGATCACTGTATACATAATGAATAAATAAATATTTAAAAAAAAAAAACAAAAAAACAAAAAACCAAAAAAAAAACATAATAACCCTGTCTCAAAAAACCAAAAAAAAAAAAAAAAAAAAAAGAGAGAGAGAGAGAAAGGTTTGGTTATCTTAAGGACATGTCATAACAACCTAAGATAATGGAATGGCTCATATAATGGGCACTAGACAAAAAAGAAATCTCTCTTGCTTAGGACTTTCAACACGATTGAGAATATCCTCCCATACCCAGTAAAGGGGGTATGAATTTCTGAGAACTCCTGATATCATGTCTCATTATTTTTTTTTATCCTTTTTCTCACAGAATAGAATTTCTTCCTCATAGTAATTATTCCGTAACTGCAATGTTAAATAATTCAAAACTAGGATTCCCCTGGAGCTGGAGTTACAATGTGGTTGCTGGGAACTGAACTTGGATCCTCACCAAGAGCAGCCAGGGCTCTTAACTGCCAACTCATCTCTCCAGGCCAAGTGAGAAGACTTTTATGGTTTTCTAGAATGACCAGCCCCACTGCCCACACAATGCTTTGTTACCAAATCCACTGACCAGCAAAGGAGACTTTCTTACTAAAAATGCTTTTACTAACGGTTTCAGAGAGCAGAGGAGACCCACAGGAGAGGATGGGGAGCTGGGTCCTCCACGTGTCTATTGGCCCTGCTCTTTCTGCTGGCTCTGAAGGACTCCGTGCCCGACTGCCACCTTCGAAACCACACATTTTCCCTCTTACAAACAAACTGCACTTCCTTCACAAGGGCCGCAGACCCAGACTAACAGGGAGTACAAGCCATAAAGATGGGCCTTACGGGGGGCTGGAGAGATGGCTCAGAGGTTAAGAGCATGTACTGCTCTTCCTGGGGCTCTGAGTTCGATTCCCAGCACCCACATCAGGTGGCTCACAGCTGCCTGTAACCCTGGCTCCAGGGTATCTGACACCTCAGACATCTGTGAGTATTTGCACACTTGTGTCATGTGCATATACCCCCCAACACATACACATAATTAAAATAATAAAAATAAAAATAAAAAAAAACCCAAAAGATGGGCCTCACGTCTTCCTCCTTAATAGCGCTGTACTGTGACGGGCACGGCTGCTTCAGGATTTCCTCCCACTGCCCGTCTTCAATCAGCTCCTGATCCACTTCCCCGGGAGGCAGGTCCTGCAGCAGACGGGATGACACTGCTGAAGCCGTTTGTTCCCACAATGCATCGCGTCCCCGACACAAATGCAGCAGCTGGGTCCTAGCCAGTGCTGTTCCCCTTGTTTACAGCAAGCAAGCCCAGATGTTGACAGCAAGCCCAGATGTTGACGGCAAGCCCAGATGTTGACGGCAAACCTAATGTGACACTAGCAGGAGCTGGAGACAGCGAGGAACTGGGATTTCCCCGGAAGCTTCTACCCTGAGCTTGAAATGTGGGTACCAGGAAGAGGCCTCCCCCACAGACAGTCTCACAGTTCTGATGACTTAACCTCACAGCGGCCTCCTAGCCTCATTTAAACCATGATTCAGGAGCATCTAGAAGGAACCCAAAACCCTTTTCTCTCATAAATAAATCCATTTTCCTTTACACATGTGTTTCCCGATTTCTTTGGGAACGATGGGATACTAAGGTAGTGGGTTATGAACCTGGGTGTCTAGTCACACTAGGACGTGGGACACAGCTCAGTGGTTCAGCAGTTGCCCAGCATGCACGAGGCTGGGTATAAACCTGAGCACCCCAAAATGGGCAATGTGAGTGAGGACGAAAAAGAACAACAAAATCTCCTTATGGAGCCTGGTACACCTGTAACCCCAGCACTTGATTGGCCAAAGCAGGAAGAACTCAAGGCCAGCCTGGGCTCCATAACGAGACCCTGTCCAACAAACGCCAACACTAAAATTAGAAACAAGGCAGGGTCATCAATATGGCATTTGAGTCTCAGAGCAACAGGACAAGAAATAAGAGAGGAACAACCAGGGAGTGAGAAGTTGGCACTTCTTGTTTGCAGAGAATATGATGCTTTACACAGCAGACCCTAACGACCAGAAAACTAGAATCGACCAATGCTTTCTGCAACTGGCAGGATACAAACAACATGCTTTTTTTTTTTTTTTTTTTTTTATACCAACAGCAAATAAACAAAGGTAGAAATCAGGGAAACAATCCCAGTCACAGGAGTCTTGATAAATAAGCAAAATACCCCAGAGGAAACCTGAGGAAGGAGGTAAAGGAACTCTACAACGAAAACTTTAAAACCAAAGAAAATCCCAGGCCTGGTTGGAATGAGACTTTAACTCTAGCACCCGGGAGACAGAAGTAGGTGGACCTCTATGAGTTCAAGGTCAGGCTGGTCTACATATTGAGTTCCTGGCCAACCAAGGATATATAGTGAGATTCTGTCTCAAAAGACTAAATCTCTGTAGAAAGAAATCAAGGAAGGCAGAGATTAGCAGATGAAAGGCCTCACATGCTCATGGATTGGTAGAATTAATGACATAAAAATGATCATCCTAGCAAAACCAATATACAGATTCAATGCAATCGTAATCAAAATCACCATGGTTTTCTTCACAGAAATAGAAAAACAAAATCTTAATATCAGGGACTATGGGGGTCCAGCCCCTCGATAGTCCCCTCCCAGGGTTCGGGAAGAATCTACAACCAGCTGATAATTAATCTTTGATGAAAAGAAATGAATCTATGTACACAAGACTCCTTAGTTTATACACTTTATTATTCTGTGATAGTTCTCTCTCTACACAGCTTCTATTCTGCTCTCATGTTTAGCTCCTTTCTTGCCTGATTTCTCTATATTTATCTACTGTCCCCTCTAGGTTCTATCTTAATTCCTTCATCTAGTTCTATCCCTTCTAGGTTCTCATCTATCTAGTTCTTTCCCCTATCAGTTCCTCTCCCATCTCCTTCTTCCTCATCTTGTTCTTCCCCATCTGGCTCTTCCTCATCTTCCATCTCGTTCCTCTAGTCCTCTCTTCTAGTCCTTCAATCTAGTTCTTTGCCATCTCAGTTTGTTCTCATGTTCTTACCCATCTAGTTCTTCCATTCTCTTTTCTCCTTCCTGTGCCCTGGAAGTCCTGGTATATAAAGGGAGGGTCCGAGCTAAATTGTGTAAAGCTATTACTTAACGTCTACCTCTCCTAGGTGGAGTCTCCTTGTGGAATTTACCTTAAATCAGGAGACTTGCTTGTGGGCTGCTATCATTGTTAGTCCTCGGAAGTTGGGCACCCACCTGGGTGGTGTTTCCTGTAGTCCTTGAAAGTGGCTAAGGGAGATAATCTGATTCCAGAGAAAGCCTTTCCTGAGGCTGTTCTCCAAATACCTGGAATGTGTATGTCCAGAGAGTGCTCAGTCTACACTGTTAGTCCTTCTTAGGGGAAAGTCAATTGGGAAAACTATGAAGGCACACATGATTTTCATAACAGAATACAGCTGATATATAACAAGCCAAGTAACACCAAAAACTCCTTGGGATTTGGCTTCCTCTGGAGGAATTCCCTGATCCCTCCAGGTAGTGACTTTGCCATAACCAGCTGAGTTCTTATGATATATTCCTGTGGCCTGCAGCATCTTAAAACTCAAATGGAAACACATAGGAACCCAGAGGGCCAAAGCAATCTAGAACAAAAGTAACAATGTCAGAGGCATCACCATACCTGATCTCAAATGACACCACAGAACCACGGTTACAAAAAGGGCATGGTACTGGCACAGAAAGAGACGTGTAGATCAGGGGAATGCAACAGAAACCCCAGAATAACCCGATACAATCACAGCCACCTAATTTTTGACAAAAACACTAAAAACACACACCGGAAGAAAGTGCATTTTTGAAAAATTGTGTTGAGCAAACTGGATGTCTACATGTAGAAGAATGAAACTCGACCCTTCCCTCCTGCCTTGAACAAAAATCAACTCCAGGGGCTGGAGAGCTGGCTATCTTCTCTTCCAGAGGAGCCAGGCTTCATCTCCAGCACCCACATGGCAGCTCACAGATCTATAATTCCAGTTCCAGGGGATCTGATGCCTTCTTCTAGCCTCCACAGGTAAAAGGCTCACATGTGGAGCAGCAACATCCAGGCAAACAAGACACACTCCCCAAACAAACAAAAACACTTAAAAAAATTCTGCATGCCAGCTGGGCAATGGTGGTACATGCCTTTAATTCCAGCACTCAGAAGCAAAGACAGGCAGATCTCTGAATTCGAGGCCAGCCTTGTTTGTACAGAGCGAGTTCTAGGACAGCCAGGGCTACACAGAGAAATCCTATGTCAACAAACAAACAAACAACAACAAAAATGGGCTGTAGAACTGAACAGAGAATTCTCAAAAGTATTACAAATGAATAATAAACATTTTTAAAAGTGTTCAAACCACAGCATAAAAAGAACTACAAATTAGAGCTACTTTGAGATTCCATCTCGTCCCAGGCAGAAGGGCTATCATCAAGAAATTAAAAGACGGTGAGCTGGAGAGATGGCTCAGAGGTTAAGAGCACTGGCTGCTCTTCCAAAGGTCCTGAGTTCAATTCCCAGCAACCACATGGTGGCTCACAACCACCTGTAATGAGATCTGGCGCCCTCTTCTGGCCTGCATGCACACATGCAGGGAGAACACTGTATACATAAATAAATAAATCTTTAAAAAAAAAAAGAAATTAAAAGAATAGATGCTGGTGAGGATGTGGAAAAAGAGGCACTTGTTCACTACTGGTGGGTGTGTAAACTAGTGCAGGAAAGAGAGACACTTCTTCACTGTTGGTGGGTGTGTAAACTAGTGCAGGAGAAAGAGGCAATTATTCACTGTTGGTGGGTGTGTAAACTAGTGCAGGAAAGAGAGACACTTCTTCACTGTTGGTGGGTATGTAAACTAGTGCAGGAAAGAGAGGCACTTCTTCACTGTTGGTGGGTGTGTAAACTAGTGCAGGAGAAAGAGATACTTCTTCACTGTTGGTGGGTGTATAAACTAGTGCAGGAGAAAGAGACACTTCTTCACTGTTGGTGGGTGTGTAAACTAGTGTAGGAGAAAGAGGCACTTCTTCACTGTTGGTGGGTGTGTAAACTAGTGCAGCCAGTAAGGAAATCAGTGTGGAGACTCCTCAAAAAACTAGGACTAGACCTACCATACGACCCAGCTATTCCATCTAGGACGTGCCCAAAGGCTGGACACCCCACTACTGAGAACTGACTCGTCTGTTTACTGATGCTCTATTCACAACAGCTAGGATGCATTTTTTAAAGTTGGAAGGGAAGTGAACGACCTGGCTAGGAACTGCTGCCCTGTGAACCTATAGTTTATTAAAAACTCCAGTGCTATGTGTGGGGTAACTCCTTGTAAGTTGGTCAGGGAGGTCCTGGTGGCCCCTAAAACAATACAGGCACTTGTCATTTGTCTTGGCTGTTCACTAGAGTCAGATGACAAGACATTCCTGCTGAGGACACCACACACTTTGGTTGCATGGTACAGAGAAATCAAGCTAGACATGATCTGGAACCGTTTTCCCTGCGGACCAGCTTTCATGGTGCTAGAAGGTGCTATGAGCTGGTGGAGAAGAAAAGACTCCCCAGCTGTGAACTACAAACGACAGTGCTAACCTGTCGGGCAAGCTGTGCCTACGTGTCCAACAGTGGCATGACTGTTCCGGGAGGTAACTCCTGCTCTTGACTGAATCTGAGGTCTGCTCCACTCAGGGGAGTCCATGCTTAGTTCTCTAAACCTGCTCAGTGTTGGGAAACCCACTCAAGGTATAAAGAGGGAGGTCCTAAGCCCTATTGGGGAATTAAACTCTATGGCTTTACTAAATTCACAGTGTCAAACCACCTTATAAACATGCATGTTTATTCCCATAGCTAATTCCCATTCTTAGCCTTAATCAGAGTCTCCTCTTTCTAGTGAACTCTGATGAAGGGCGAGATATATGGCTACATAATAAGACTGAGTGACAGCTGACTGCTCAGCTCTAAGAAAGACATTCCCACCATCCCCCCTGAAGTTCACAAGCTTCGCAGAAGACGGGGCAGAAAGACCGTGAGGGCCGGAAATATGGAAAAGGGCTGCAGAACACCATCACTGGGGAAATACACAGCCAGCGCAACCACGAAACTCTGAACAACTACAGATGACGGCACTGGCCGTGAAAACGGATGGGCCCATCATCAGCTGAGCAGATGGAAGAGGGATGCAGGCCGCTCCTTCACAGCTAAACTACGTCCTACAGACAGATTCAGGGGCAGGGGAAGCCACTGCCTTCCGTGATAGACCACTGGTGACCAGGTTCCGATGGACGGTCCCAATTAAACAGTCACACGGTGCTGGTTAAACTAAATGGGAGACCGAACCAAACCAACGTCATGAATGGGAAAGGGACAAGTCGGGAGTGAGGGGGTTGGAAGGGGTGGGGGTGGGGTAACCAAAACGTATTATATACATGTACTAACTTGTCAAAGAACTTAATTAAAAAACAAAACCAAAACATATTCTGTTCTCTCAGTTCTTTTTTTTTTTTTTTTTGGTTTTTCGAGACAGGGTTTCTCTGTGTAGCTTTGCGCCTTTCCTGGGACTCACTTGGTAGCCCAGGCTGGCCTCGAACTCACAGAGATCCACCTGGCTCTGCCTCCCGAGTGCTGGGATTAAAGGCGTGCGCCACCACCGCCCGGCTTTGTTCTCTCAGTTCTAAGTATGCAAGTCTGATTTCTGAAGTGAAAGACCAGAAAACCAACAAAAACAAAGCCCATTCTATCTCAAAGTTTCAGAACTTTGCCAACTTTTAAAATTCAACTTTTCATGCTGGGCCTCAAACCCAGGGCCTCACACATGTGAGCCACACGGTCTCATTCCTGGGATGTCCACTCACCTCCAGCAGGGAGTGGTCTACCTGAGCCTAACTTACGGTTTTAAGGCTGCACAGTCACTACAATGGCAACCGTGTCCCCCATCACTAAGCACAGAGACTTAGCCTAGAAGTGGACCGAAATATAAAGTCAGACTACGTCCTCTAAGGAAAATGATCACTTCTGTGTTCAGACACTAACTCAGATACCAAGACCGTAACCGTGACATGTGATCCAGCAGCACGCCAGTTACGGATCGACGTGCTATGGCGACTCTTACCTCCTCCCCTATAATTGTCAGCCTAGGGAACTTCCGTGCCAGGGAAGAGCATATGCTCATCTGTACCAAGCGGTCTGCTTTGGTCTGCAGGTCTGTGGCTGAGGTCTGTAACGAAGAATGCAAATCTCAATAGAAATACCAAATGGGATAAATGGTCTCCCCACTCGCAAGTGCACAGTACCCATATAATTGACACTACATTTTCAGATTTCAGATTCATGGCTCTTAGCCCCAATGAATCAACTGGTCGTACGCCCTGCTACTTCTCAGAGAATTAACAGCAATTAAGAATGGGAAGTGAAGCTAGGTGGTATTGCATGACTGTAACCTCAGCACTTGGAAAGCTGAGGCAGGAGGATTGCCATAAATCTGAGATCAACTTGTGCTACAAGTATACCGCTAAATAAAGGTAATTTAGAAATACAGGGTGTTCGTTCATGTGTTGATGGAGATCAAACCCATACCTTGTGCATGCTTAGCAAGCACTCTACCACTGAGCTATATTACCAGCTCCAGAATGCTTCAAGTTTGCAAAGGTGCTATTAAATTATTTGGAATGTTTTCTTCTCTACTGATAAATTCTTTTATAAGATTCTAGTTACTAACCTTCTTCATAGGCTAAGAGGCAGGAAACTACCATGTGGTGCTACATACTTTTTAGAATCTCATACTTGAAAAGCAGAAGCAGCAGGTTCACCAGAGGTCCTAGTCTAGCCTGGTCTACACAGTGAGTTCCAAGCCAATCCTCATAAGACCTATGTAAGCCTGGTCTATACAGGGAGTTCCAGGCCAGTCAGGACAGCACAACAAGACCTTATTATCTCAAAACCAAAACAAACAAACAAAAGAAATAAATTTACACTGTTCCAAAGTGAAGCTATCATCAGTGTATGAAGAGTGTCCTCTATAACTTTCCCCACTTATTCTTGTAATCCAAGAGTTCCTGAAGATGATTCATTAATGCATCAGAAAGAATTTCTAGGTTTTTTTTGGGGGGTGGTGGTGGTGAAGACGGAGATGGGGTTGAGGCAGGGTCTCATATAGCTCAGGTTGGCCTTGAACTCACTATTATAGCCGAGGCTGGCCTTGAACTTCTGAACCTCTTGCCTTCATCTCCCAAGTGCTAGGACAATGGCTGTCTGGCACCACATGTGGCTTTTATAGCTTTGAATAAGAAATACTTATTTAAACATCAGATTTTCTCAAACACATTGTATGTTCTAAGGTTGCATGGTTTTGTAGGGAATAGATTAGGATCTCTTCTGGAGGTGGACTTTATCATATATACAAAGACCTTGAATGAAGTACAGAGTTACTTCCTTTTTTCTTTCTTTCTTTCTTTTTTCTTTTTTTTTTTTTTTTTTGGTTTTTCGAGACAGGGTTTCTCTGTGTAACAGCCCTGGCTGTCCTGGAACTCGCTTTGTAGACCAGGCTGGCCTCGAACTCACAGAGATCCTTTGTCTCCCAAGTGCTGGGATTAAAGGTGTGTGCCACCATGCCCAGTTTGGAGTTCTTTTCAAAGCAGATGTTGAAAGGAAGGCTCTGGTGAAGTCCATCATTTTACCGTTCCTTGGTCTAGACTAGGACATTCTTTACTACTGTGAAGAGCAGACACTGAGCGCAGACACAGACAAGCTGGCGTACCTTCTGCACGATGCCCAGGTCTCCTTCAGCAATGACACATCTGACTATGGTTCCCGCCTTCTGAGCGATAGAGTATGCTGAGGCCACTAGTCGCATCAACACGGTGTGGCTGGAAGCCATGATGAGCCTTGAGGGAAAGAGAAAGATATTTTGTTACTCGAGACCAGCTACGAGTTTCAGTTAATTGAATTCAGGACAACACATACTTACTAAATCCTGGGGCTGCCTCACTTAACTACATAGGGTTTTTTTTTTTTTAAACAGGGTTTCTCTGTGTAGCCCTGGCTGTCCTGGAGCTCACTCTGTAGACCAGGCTGGCCTCGAACTCAGAGATTCGCCTGCCTCTGCCTCCCAGGTACTGGGATTAAAGGCGTGCGCCACCACTGCCCTGCTACTACATAGGTTCTTTAATAAATACACACTAAGAGACTTGGAAGAGACACAGTTTTGGTATTAACTCTTTCAATACACCCTGTAACACTCTCTCTCAGCAAACAAAACATTTCAAAGTCTGGAGAAATGAACTCAGCAGGTGAAAACTTTTGAGTGTGAGGTGTGTAACATGCAAAGTAGAAGTCTTAGGAGCTAAAACTATATTATGTAACATCTGCCCTTAATCAGCTGATATTTTGAACACTAGAGCTGATAAGTGCAAGAGAGGGGTGAGCAGCGTAAGGGACTTGGGTGTCTACATAGGGTAAACTGCAAAAAAGAGGAACTGGGCTGTAGTTCAGTGGTAGAACACCTGCTTTGTAGTTCAGTTCAGCCTATCGGGCCCTGCATACAAACTCTAGCGCTGTTTAAAAACAAACAAACAGCCGGGCGTGGTGGCGCACGCCTTTAATCCCAGCACTCGGGAGGCAGAGGCAGGTGGATCTTTGTGAGTTCGAGGCCAGCCTGGGCTACCAAGTGAGCTCCAGGAAAGGCGCAAAGGCTACACAGAGAAACCCTGTCTCGAAAAAACAAAAAAAACAAAAACAAAAAAAAAAAACAAAAAAAAACAAAAACTGCATGCAATTGCAACTAGGTAGCCCTGACAGGTCTAGAACTCCCTGTGGAGAGCAGGTGGCTTTAAACTCACAAGAGAGCCACCTGCCTCTGTCTCCTGAGTGCTGGGCCTCCCTACTCATTCTGTTTATATAACAGTCTCACTCTGTGGCCCAGGCTGGCTGCAAAGTACTAATCCTCCTCCCTCAGCCTTCTGAGCACTGGGATGACAAGTATATGCCATCATGCCTCGCTTCAACAGAAAGATGTAAAAAGGACACTCTGAAGGGCCATCCTTGTGGGGCCAACTGAGGTGTTAGCTATACTATATTCTAGTCTGGTATCTTCCCTCCCATTTCCTTCCCTTTCCTTCTACAAGTGATTTCAACAACACTCCCGAGAAAGCCTGCTGTACTATATTTCTGTCTCCAAGGGCTTGAGGCAAAAACCTCTCAGGCTACCCAGTGTTCGAACATATACAAAATGCAAAGCCTTGGGTTCAATTCTCACTACAACAAAACACAAAAACAAGGCAGAGTTGGTGGCCTGAACCAGAATGAAATCCTAGCACTCAGAAAGCTGAGGCAGGAGGATCCTCAGGTGCAGACCAGCGTAGGCTATATAGTAAGTTCTAGGTCAACCTGGCTAAATAAAGATACATTATTTCCAACAACAACAAATACAACAACAGCAAAAACCTTTAAAACTTAAAACAAACAAAAGCTTTTCCAACTCCAAATCAAATCAGGTTGACATGCCTTTAGTTAGGTCAAGCAGTGCGTGATTATTCCTTATCCACAGGGACAAACCCATTTCCATTGCCAATTTCTGATGGAATAGCTGACTCCACATACCTTTATATCCACCTGCATCCTTTTCTGTTGCCTCTGATCTAATCACAAGAGTTAAGAACATAAATGGGCAATAAACTAATATGGGAAAGCTCTTAAAAGATGCAGTTGAGGGGCTGGAGAGATGGCTAAGTGAATAAGAGCACTGGCTGGTCTAGCAGAGGACCCGAGTTCAGCTCCCAGCTCCAAGAGACTTGGAAGAGACACAGTTTTGGTATTAACTCTTTCAATACACCCTGTAACACTCTCTCTTAGCAAACAAAACATTTCAAAGCCTGGAGAAATGAACTCAGCAGGTGAAAACTTTTGAGTGTGAGGTGTGTAACATGCAAAGTAACAAGGCAGTTCACAAGTATCTGTAACTCCAATTCCTCTTTTGTCACCAGGCATGCATGTGATTCACAGGCTTACATGCAGGGAAAACACTCATACACATGAGATAATAAAATAAATCTTAAAAAGAAAAGAGGGAGACGCCAGATGGTTGTAGTGCACGCTTTTAAGCCCAGCACTCGGGAGGCAGAGGCAGGTGGATCTCTAAAAGTTTGAGGCCAACCTGGTCTACAGAGTGAGTTCCAGAGCAGCCAAGGTTACACACAGAAACCCTGTCTTGAAAAAAGTGGGGTGGGAGTGGGGAGAGAAAAGATGTAATTGAAACTGATGTGCAGCACTGAAAACCATTTTTGTGGCCAACAGCTATTTGGAGTTAAAATGAAAATAAAATGGCAAAAAAAAAAAAAAAAAGGCTATCCGTGTGGCGTACCTTCTACTGTAATCAAGCTATGTTGGATTCTTGACATACTAGGTTTGCGGGTGGAATAAAGTAAATTACGATCATTACCAATTCAGGAACACCACAAATAAAACCCAGAAGCAATAGTCTAGGGAAACATTTCACTGAACAGCCATCTATCTAATGTACTTTGAACTGGAAGGGCAGATCCAGGTTACTAACCTTCCCCAGCACCTTTTCTGGGGAAGGGGGTGATGGGAAATCACATCTGGGGCCTCACCAGGCAAGTTCTTTCTCACCGAGCTCCCCTCGACTCGCCACATGCCTAAATACTGATGAGAGTTTAACTTGTGGGAGTGGCGACAGAAGTTCTTTTCGCTCACTGGAACTTTTCCTAGATATCATTTACCCTTAATCCAGTTCAGTAATCATTTGAGCCTTGTTAGGCTGCGGGCACAACTAATCCACGTCCTCTCAAGCTCGACACATACACGCAGACTTTTCTTTTTCCAGCGGAAAATTTCCGGGCTGTCTGCTCGCTACCTTACCCAATAAATGCACCCTATGTTTATGAACCACAATTTGAAGAGAGCATCAGTTTGTAAGACATAAGAATAGCAATACGACTACCCCTCTAGGCCCTAATATTTTTCTTACCATAGTTTTTAAAGAAATATATAGTTTTGATTCTTGGTATAAAGAAAAAGAAAAAAATTATCAAAACACACCATGTGTAAAGGAGATCTTCACTAGCCTTCTTGCGTCTCCCCCAGCAACCCAGTGGGAAGTACCTTTGGAAGTGACAGGCGACTGAAGAACAAGGCTAAGGCTAACCATAAGTTAACGTCCTTGGAGCAGCTCAGAAAACTCGTCCACCTTTCTCCGAGTCTTCCCTGAGCACTTCTGGGAACATGACCTTTCAAAAGCTTAGCTAAAAAAACAGGGCGATGGCTAACGACAGACTTTGGAGTCAACTGCCTGTGTCCACATCCTGGGTATATTAGCTTCCGGAAAGCCACCGACTCTCCATCCTGGAACTTCTAAATGGGAAAACAGCACCGATTGGTAGAGGGTTGCTGTGATTACTAAATAAGTACGACATGGAAGGCACTGAGCATACAGACAAGCACCAAACAACACTGGCTAGAGACGTTTACGTCATTTCCTTTGTTCTGGCTACAACAGGGATACAGGGAGTGCTAAAGACAAAAGGCGAGGGGCTGGAGAGATGGCTAACGGTCAAGGGCACACAGAGGTCAGACCCCAGAACCCAGGTGGAGCAGCTTACAGACACTTGTAACTCCTCTGCTGGCCTCCATGGGCCCCTGCACTCATTAGTACATACCCACATTAGGACACACAGGCACAAACGTATAACCTAAAGTAAAATGGAAACATCTCCATGGGCTCACACCTCGGAATGGATACTTGCTCACCAAGTGCCGGTGCTGTTTTCAGACACTGTAGGAGAACTTTGAGGAGGCCGGGCCTAGTGAGAGGAAGTGGCCCCCTGCACGGTGGGCCGGCACTGACACCTGCTCCACTTGTCTGCTCTCTGTTCCGGCTCTCTGCTCCCAGATCCCCCAACATGTGAGAAGCCACATGCAAACTTCCACCGCCGAGAATGGGGGCCAGGCACACGTCTTTCCCACGGTGATGAACTGTGTGCCCCTGAAACCATCAGGCAGAATAAGCGGCTTCTCCCTTAGCTGCTTCGGACTCAGTGGTGAGGAAAACAACTGTGACAAGCGACATTCTGGCCTAGGGAGCAGCGTGGTACCTGATGGGACAGAGATTCTCCTGCACCACGCTTTAGGCTTGGGCCGTAGAGTAAATACGAAAAGCAGTGAGCCAAGAGGCAAGCAATCAACGCCTGCCAGCTACTCCAGAAGGATGGAACACACAAGCCAGGCACGGTGGTGCTTTCATCTCACCACTCAGAAGCCTGGGGTGCCTGTCACTAAGAGAACTGCTCCAAGTTCACAACAGCCTGGACCAGAGACCAAGAGCCAGACCAGCCAGTTCTACACAGTAAGACCATCTCAAAAACAGGACAAACGAAAACGAGAAACAGCAACAGAAAGAAAAACAGCAAGGCTCAAGTGACCAGTTCCTTCTCATAGCCTAAGGTTTAAGGGCAAAACAACAACAAACACTGTATCCTTTTTGTCCTTTACCTTTATTCTTACAAGGATGGTGAACATGCAGATTAGGATTTTAAAATGTCTGATATGTTCCCAGTAAAAGCACTAAAATCATTTATCTTTGGGACCTGGTTAAACAGTGCTGAAGTTCAAGGTATCTAGAAAGATAAAAATGAGCATGATGGAGCAAATTCTGAACAATTAATAGAGATCCCCTTGTTACCAGTTATCAAACTATGGTAATCAGCTGGGTGTGCTGAGCCTGCTCCTAGTCTTTGCACTTAGGAAGCTGAGTCAGGACTGGGAACACCACCACCATTAGTTACATAGTAGGTTCCAGGCCAGCACTGGCTACCTAGTGGAGTACTTTCTCCAAACATCCATGCATGCACATACAAACCTAAACAAAACAAAATGAATGTTTGGAGAAAGGATATGTGTGTGCGCATGCATATATATATATGCACACACACATATAAGTGCATATATTACACACACACACACACACACACACACACACACACTGCATTTTTTTAAAGGTTCCAAGAAACATACTCCTATAATCCCAAAACTCAGGAGGCTGAGGTAAGAGAACCTTGGGTTTGAAAACAGCGGAAGTTCAGTCTTTCTCAGTCTGTTTCTCTAATAGGTTTTAATTAAAAGAGTGAAACCATAAAAAGTCTAGGAATGGTTTTATAACTTGTAAAGGCAGAGTATTAACAAAGTTACACAGAAATTAAAACTTCTACATGGCCAAAATGCCATAAGCAAAGCAAAGTCATAACTGATAAAAGGAGAGGTTAAGTCCTGTACCATACAGTAATAACTGAAGTTTTATTTGGGGCTCTTATGCCTCAGTATGTAAAAGGCAATAATACTCCAGTGAAAAACGAGGCAAGAATAGTTGGCAAGAAGTTCCCAGAAAAAGAAAAGCGCTGGTCACCAAATGCACGAATGTAATACTACCGAATATAAAAGAAATGCAGAGTTAGAGAATGAGAAGTGATTAAGATTCACACATGCAAGCGTTTGCCCAGTCTTCAAGGACTGAGAGAACATGTTCCTACTGGAGCCCTTAAAAAAAAAACAACAAAATGTATACATTGTTCCACGCAGCTATTAGATTCCTGGGCAAACAAATCACAACGGCCTACCAGCGTGCATAAACGACAACCGACAACGGAAAGAATGTTGGCTATTATGAAGTTTGCAAATTTGGATGCAATAAGAAGCGAAAGTCAAGTTTAACCTTGCTGTTTCCTCATTATTAACCAGTGTCCTCCAGAAAGCCAGGCCCAGATAAACAACCCCATGTAACCACTGGAGCTTCTAGATGCGGCTGAACTACAGGCAGTGTACCCCCAGGGCGCTGGGCATCACAACCCCTGGCTCTCCTCTACTCGGTGCTAGGGGTGGGTAGTTACCGGACCAAGAAACTAGGGCCTCCCGGAGGCCCTGCCCCACCGCGGGAGACACTTACACTCAGCCGCCCCGCGTCCCCAAACTGCTGTCCTGCCGGGTCGCTCTCCGCCCGGGTCCCCACTTCCTCTAAGTCCACGGGTCCAACGTGCAGAGAGGCGGCTTCCGCAGCTGCGGAACTCGGCGCAGGCGCACAACAGCCTCCCGTGGGCTCCGGGCGGTTGGGGAAAAGCCTGTTCTGCGCGTTTGGCGCAGGTTCACGCCACCTGTTGTCAAAGTCCGAGTCCCCGGGACGTTCCCGAGTGCTGGTTCCTGGCGTCTTGGCCTCACCTCAACAACAGTTTTGACTGGTTTTGTTTCTTGACGCAGGGTTTAGGTAGCCCAGGCTAGCCTAGAGCCACACATCTTCCTAACTTAGCTACGACTGCACAGGTGCCACTATGCCCGGCTTGGCTTTATTTTTTGATGAGTTGCCTTTATGGGATTGTTTTCATAAGAGCAGCACTTTTTTTCCCCTTAAACATCTCATGCCGTTATTTTGTGAGGATATAACGAACACATTTTGTTTCTATGTGTTTTCCGCAACTCTCAAACTTCACTTGTAAGAAGCAAACCATAACGTGTGTGTGTGTGTGTGTGTGTGTGTGTGTGTGTGTGTGTGTGTAATCAAGGTCTCACTTAGGCTGGCCTCCAACTTATGGCAATCCTCCTACCTTAAATACCTCAAGTTTTCATATATTTAGCAGTTAAGAGCACTTGTTCTCCCCGAGGACCCAGGTTTGGTTCCTAGCACCCACAGAGGCTCCCAACCATTTAAACTCTAGTTCCAGGGTACCCAGGGTACCCCACTGTGAGCACCAGGCACACACGGTGCACATAAATACATGCAAAGAGTCATACACATAAAATAAGTAAATCTAAAAAAAAAAATTACAAACTCACGTATTGGCTTTTGTAAATACATTGTAATTGTATAACAACTGCCATAAATAAGCACAAATAAAACCTATCTCATGCATATAGTGGAATGCAGAGTCCACAGGCGCTCTGCCTTGTATCTTCCCATAGGGTTTCCCAGGAAACAGCCGAGTTGAATGAATGCGGCAAGTTGTTCTGTAGAGGGGTGTGTGTGTGTGTGTGTGTGTGTGTGTGTGTGTGTGTGTGTGTGTGTATCAGGGTGGGGGCTGAGCGTATGAATCTTCGCGCTGCTGTCAGGCTCCCAGATGGGAAAATGCACTTCAGAGATGACGTGTATTCATTTGATGATGGTGCAAACACGAGGACTCACGAAACACTTAAATGCTGGTGTAATTTCAGCTGGAGAAGCCTGGCATCCCTAGAGCCGGCTGGTGAGTGAGACTCACCACATGGGTGAGTGAGCTCTGGGTTTGATGGAAAGACCCCGACTCCATGAATAAGGTGCAAGAACTATGGAAGATGAGTCCCAACATCAGTCTAGGACCTCCACATGCACACACGCATACATACGTGCATACCACACATACACATGGAAATAGAAGAAAAGGCATTACACACCGGAACAGCACATCCAGCAGTCTACTTTCAAATTCTCCCAATACTTGTTACCAGACTTCTTCATGTTTGTACTTGGAGATGACTCTGTCCTCCTGGCTCCCAACTTGAGCATCTTTTTATAGTCATTGGCTGCTTGTTTGTTTACCTTTTTTCTACTTTATCTTGATTTGCAGCAACTTTTTATACATTTTTTTTAAAGTGTAGAACAGGAATGGCAAAATAACAGCTGTGAACGTGTGTAGCCCTGGCTGTCCTGGAACTCACGCTATAGATCGCGCTGTCCTGGAACTCGTAGATCTGCCGACCTCTGCTTCCCAAATGCTGGGATTAAATGCCTGCGCCACCACCGCACGGCTTTAGTCCCGCTGCTTCGTACGTTTACGACCCTGCACAAGTTGCTGAACTAAAGTGTCTGACGAGGGAGAACCGAACAACCTCGGTCCCCTGTCTCTCTACCCTTGCGCGACCTCGGGGAAGACCCGCTGTGGCACATACCTCCAACCCGGAAGGCCCGCCCTATCCCCGCCCCCTCTGGCCGTGCCCCGCCCCTTCCGCCCCCGAGCGCGTGCGCACTTCCACGCAACTGAGTTCTTGGAGGGTCCCTGTATTTAGATCCCGGGCCGCTGCCGCGGGTTGCGTGCGGAGGCGGCCGCTTGTGGCGCCCACCATGCGTTGGGGGCTGCGCCCTCACGGGCCTGGGGCGGCGGCGCTGGCCGCTGCCGGGAGCTTATGGAGGCCAGCCCGCTTTCCCGGCCGCCTCGGGTGCCCGGGAATGCCGAGGAGGCTGGTGGTGCGGTCAGTGGCGGGGGCCGATAGCCCCCAGAGCAGCCCGAACAGCGGCAGATACCGGGACACGGTGCTGCTGCCGCAGACCAGCTTCCCGATGAAGCTGCTGGGCCGCCAGCAGCCCGACATGGAGCTGGAGATCCAGCAGGTACCGGGCGCGGCCACCCGGGCAGGGCGGGGTGGGCCAGCTCTGCGGAACGCTCCGGGCCGCTGGGGTTCCCAGACGGGCCCCTAGTGGGGGCGGATTCCAAAGCGAAGCCCAGTGCCAAGCAGTGCACCTTCCGATTTTAGCACCAAGCGAGTCGGCTTTGCACACTCTTCCTGTCTTAGTTGTCAGAAAGTAACCAGCATGTAAATAAAAGTTCAAGTGTGGGCTGGAGAGATGGCGGCGCTTGCTGCTCTTGTTGAGGCTCTGAGTTCGTTTCCAAGCACACTAGTCTGGCAGGTTCACAGCCACCTGTAACTCCAGCTCCAGGAGAGCCAATGCCTCTGACCTCCACCGGCACCTGCACTCAGATGCACCGCGCACAAATAAGTAAAAATAAAAACTAAGCTTTAAAAAAATAATTCAAGTGTTCGCAAAGAAGGGACGTTGAAGCCCACCTTAGTTACATGTCTAGGCCTTTGGCTGGAATTATGACTCCTTTGTAGGACGAAGTAGCAGTCCTTCTTGAGTTCCCCCTGTAGACTGTGTATCTGTCTTCTGTAGCATACTCAGTTTGGCCGACACTCACGTGTTAGTGCCTATAACATCAGAGTCTTTAAAATATTCCTGAACACTAGGAATACTGCTTAAGTGAATAAAGTTAGCCTGAATAGTCTTTGGATTTAGGGAAGTATTGAGGCCAAAGAATAGCAAGAATAAGTTACCAGTGTGTTTTGGGTGGTAGAGAGGGCTGGGGGATGGACAGGTCTTTCAGCAAGGCAGGATTGAGGCAGTGGATATTGATAGACTTGCCAAGAATTTAGAGCCCCCTGCCACGTAAAAGTTTAGACTTTAATCTGAAGTATTGTTGGGGGCAGGGAAGACTGCTGACTGTTTAATACTGGTTCCTTTCAGGAATGTTTCCAGTTATATTTTTGAGTTGAAAGAGTTGGAATGGGATAAGTAATAACTGAGGATTGATAAGATTCCACAGCATGTATTTATGTGATATGTAAACATTGGCTTTTTTTTTTTTTTTTTTTTAACAGAAATGTGGGTTTTCAGAGCTTTATTCCTGGCAAAGAGAAAGAAAAGTAAAGACAGAATTTTGTCTTCATGATGGACCTCCTTATGCAAATGGTGACCCTCATGTTGGGCATGCCTTAAACAAGGTAATTATAGTTTAGGTTATAAAACTTGGAAGTAAATACTCTGCAAAAGACCATATTCTACGCTGTGATAATTATGTAAAGTTACATTGGCATATGCAAATCAATGAATTGTTAATTAGTTTATTTATTGTGGTGCTGGACATGAAACTCAGGGCCTTGTTCATGCTAGGTAAGTAGTCTACCAGGGAGCTGCATCCCAGTGTATTTTGTGTATGTTGTGGGGTCTGTGGATGGAACCGAGGATGTAACACATGGGACATCTCATCTCTACGTCTGCAGCCCACACTGGATATATTAGTAGCAATACACAGTTTTAAAACAGCTTGAACATTAACACTGCAGGTGTTTCCTTTCAGCTTTTTGTTACTTTACACTTAAATTCCACCTCATTCATTACTTCTTGTTTATGTGTAGGGCATTATTCTGTACTCCAGATAGTGAAAAAAATAAAGTCATATCCATTCCTTATACCCTATTTGGGAAGATAAATTATTAAGATCTGTAACATGCTGGACTGTGATTATTATAGCTGTGGAGGAAGCAAAAGTGGAAAGGAGAGATATGGGGAGAGTCATTGCTGAGACTAATTTTTTTAAAATTCTACTTTATTTTATGTGTATGGGTGCTTTGCCCGTGTGTGTGTGTCTGTGCACCGCTTGCACGCCTAATGCCTGCAGAGGATGGAAGAAAGCTCGCAGATGCCCTGGACTGGAGTTAAAGATGGTTGTGAGCTACCATGTGGGTGCCTGGCTTCTCTGGAAGAGCAGCCAGTGCTCGTAACTGCTGAGCCACCTCTCCAGCCCTGGAGCTGTAACTTTAATAAACGGATCTGGACTGGCTCTTCACCGGGAAAGGTGACATTATGGGAATACTTAGGAGAGCACGTGGGAGCCCAGTGTGCTGGTGTCCTCCTGCGTTCCCACATTTGGTAGCTGAGGTGGGAGGGCGTTGAGTGTTTGAGGCCCGACTAGGTCCCCTGGTGGGTGTGAACAGTATGGACTAGAGTTAAAACCTCTCTCAAAAACAAACGAAACAAAACAAAAACCCCCAAACAGGTAAGACTAGCCAGTGCAAGGCTTGAGGTGGGTGTTTTGGCTCCTCTGAGGAATAGTAAGGAAGGCAGCATGGGCAGTACATGAGGGGAGAGTGTGAGGTATGGCTGCAGATGCAGCAGGGTCCACATTGAACAGTCCATTTACAGGACTTTGGGCTTCCTTCTGGGAACACTAGCGAGCCTTTGGCCTTCAGGGTCAGGTGGTCGAGTAGATGCATTCAAGATCTGATTTATTAGATAATTTACTATGATTTCAAACATTTATTTGGTCTGACTAATAGGATCATTTTAGGCTGTTTTCGTTGGTGATAGAGTGTTGAGGTTAAGGCATCTGCAAGCAGAGAGACCAGTCAGGAGTCAGAGGACAGCGACAGTGTCCTTGACAGTTGAAGCCACAAAAGCCAAAAGAGACCAGCTTTGGAGTGCAGTCTGATGTGGAGCTGATGAACAGAACATCCTGTGTTAAGACTCAAGGCCGCTTCAGAGAGGTTTGACGTGGAGCACGTAGGCCAGTGTTTCTCTGACTTGATGGGCAAAGTGGTAGCGGGGGGAGTGTTTGGAGGGGAGGAGTTCAGACTTGGGCAGGGGAGGAAGATGCTGGTTAATCAGAGCAAAGCCACCAGCACGGGGTCTGGAGCTGGTGTCTGGTCTGTTTCTGAGGCAGGTGGATGGCTGTTGAGAGGCTCTGAGAGATCTCATCTGGCCACCTCTGCTTCCCCCTGTGAGGGAGAAACTGCAGCTGTCACCGTGAGTACATGATGTGACTGCTTCCCAGGGAAACTGTCTTCCTACAGCCTGATAATCAATTCACCTTCCTTTAGTTTTTAAAAAATTACATTTATTTGTATGTGTGTGTGTCTTAATTTCTAACGTACGATTAAAAACCAAAGAGACTTCCATATTACTTTATTTTATGTTTGTTTTTGGTACTGGAGGTCAGGCTGGGTGCTGCCTCTATGAAGCATTAGACCTCTAAGCTACACTCCAAAGATTTTCTATTCTTGATCAGATTCTCCTTTCTGACAGATGTACTATATTAATGCTGTATTTTTTCCACATGACACTGTTTTAACTATGTTCCACCTTTTTGGGTTTTTTTTGTTTTGAGACAGACTCTTGAGTAGCTTGAGCTGCCTCAGACTCATGATCCTTCTCCTCCTCAGAATACTGCCATTACACGCATGCACCACCATGCCCAGTATGTCCACGGATTTCATAAGCTCATTGTATTTAAAATTGTACCTACTTGCATTTTAAAAGACACTGACTTATTTGCATGTGGGAGGGCACATGTACCACAGTGTGTACATGGAAGTCAGAGAACAAACAGCTTGAGGGGTTAGTTCTTCCCTTCCACCGTGGAGCTAGAAAGACAGGAGTCAGTGCCATGTGGATCAAGAGTACAGGACTGATTCTAAAAATGGAAAACTAACCCCTCCATGCCTGCCTGGAACCCTGTCAAAGGCCTGGGAGTCAGTGGGGATTTGGTCTTGTTCCTCCTCAGCCAGTGTGGTCTCGCCTCCTTTCTCCTGCCTGGTGAGCATTTCCCAGGTGACAGAAATGACTCACGTTGTCCATTGTGAAATCTCAACCAGGTTTCCTGACTTCGCTCTCAAGTAATACCACCCCAGCCCCCAAAATTATGTTCTAGTCCTTTAACATGATTTTTGCTTCCTCGAGAGTGTACATAATGTTATAATTTAGTTTCCACTGGAAAAGGAGGCTTGTTTCCCGTTTACTGCTGTCTCCTCGGGACCTGGAACACTTTTTGGCTCAGAGTAAGAATACTGAAATAGGAAAATGAAAGGCGCCGTCTCAGTTACTTTTCTGTTGCTGTGACACAACACCATGACCAAAGCAATTATAAAAGAAAGTTCATTTGAGGCTTACAGTTTCAGAGAGTGAGTCCATGACCATGAGTGTAGTCATGGGGAGTGTAGGTAATATGCACACACACACACACACACACACACACACACACACACACACACACACACACACACACACAGAGAATATATCTATATTCTCACTCATACTGGGATTAAACCCTGGGGCTGTGTGCATGCTGGAAAAGTACTCTACTGCTGAGCTAC